CTTTAATTTGGTAGTATTTTTAGTTCATAGAAGATCTACTAGGATTTATCAATAGTTTTGTTTTGATCCTGGGGCCGAAAACCGTTGTCAGCGTTACTTCATGAGCTATTGAAGGCTGGGACAGTAATGGTTGGTGAGAGCGATATCATCAGCATACTGAAGCTCAGTGGCATGTTCACTACGATCATGGGCAGTGTCCCGAAGCAGCAGAGGTTGACTAGACCGACGTCATCGTGATATCGCTGACAGATAACATTGATCATCTTGAGTACAGCATTACAGAGGCGATGAAAACATTGAAAAACACGGGTGCTAGTACGCAATTCATGTTTCACAGCAATCCACCAGGGAAAAAAATCCGACTGAAGCACCGTGCAGTATACATGTAGACAGTCCGTCGTGAAAGTTTGATGATACTCAAGGAGGGAGGGCATTCAAACTTCCGTAGAACCTGCCAGGGAATCTTTCCGTGTGATGCAGTTCATTTCTCTGAATAAAATGAGTACTCTGGTGGATTTGGTTTTCACATGAAGCAAATTTTCAGAAAATTCTATCAGGAGACACGGTGAGGTAATGGATAGCGGCTCGTATTGACGAATTCCAGCCAGGTTCATTACATTTACTTACGTGCATGCCTTTAGCCTGGGAAAAAGGATGAATCCTCTTCTCCTACGCCAGCTACGGGGAAAATAGCAGGACAGACAGGGTTCTATAGTCTTAGGTGGCAACCAATCTAGGAGAATGTAACTCTGAATTCAAAACTGTATGTATCCCTGGCGTAGTTGTAAAACTAAAGAAATAAACAGACACATTGTTTCGATGATTCCGACTACGGTCGAATAATAGCATGACTATCAGTTTGTGTTTATTTTGAATGGGAAATATTTTTGAAAACTTACGAATAAATGAGTAATATGAAAATTCCTATCGTTATACAAGCATCATCAATAAGCCGATCATTTATCGATTAATTTAAACTCATCTATATCTTTTAATATGCTTCCATTTTAATTTCCCGACCAGAAGTCAGTTCGATTCTGATTCTGTTCATGAGATTATATAAATTCTTTTGGCTTCAAAGTAAAATAAGAAATAACTGCGATTATTGAATGTTTTTTTTAGATCTATATGTAGGTTTCTTGAAGTTTCTATTTAGTAAATCTATTTCTGAAATATTCTTCATTACTCAATCTAAGTCTTTTGGGACACTGTATTTATTATGCGTGTTTATTCCCCAAATAAGACATGCCCTCACTTTACTTATAAAACGAATTATATAACAAAACATAAAAATAGTTTACACATACATAAGCAAAAAAAATCGTCTAGTCTTAGAACTTTTCAGCAAGTTAAATATAGCGAAAAAGTAATTGCCAAAACGTTAATTTCCGACAAACATCAAAATAATCGTCTACCAATAGAGTCGAAAATTCTAATTCTTTTACCAAAGCTAAAAATTTTAAATTTAAGTTTTTGAACTTAATATAAAAGAATGTAAGACAACCGCTTCTAAAATAAGAAAAAGTTTAAAAAAAATTGAATTTTGATTATTAAAAAAGTAGGCTAATGGGAAGATTTACCATAGAGTTTTCGTCTGTCTCAGAGAAGTAATTCCGAAAGATAAATTATAAAACATAAATAAGTAATTCTGAAAATATTAAAATTGTTTTTCTAAAATATTGTCTGCTTTTTCGTAAGATAAATATGTATTTTGCATTTGGGCAGATTTAAATATTTATGCATATACGTACGTAGGTTGTGTATGGCTGACAAATCTTTTAATAAGATAAACACACATATATATATATATATATATATATATATATATATATATATATATATATATATATATATATATATATATAAAAGAAAGAACAGTAAGATATATAATCCGGTGTTCTTATTGATATTTTCATTTTCACAAAACAGTGCTCAATGTAAATTTACAGAGCATAAATATTATAAATTAAGTGATTTGAAAATATGGTTCCCTCGTTACACAGGAATTACCATGTTTCAAAAACCGAAGCTAAAAACTTCAAATCTAATTATATAATTAAATTAAAAGCCTTAGTTCTGTTTCATCTTCAAGCGAATTTTGAAATCCAAATTTTTATTGAATTCCAAAATTCGCTTGAAGATGAAACAGAACTAAGGCTTTTAATCTAATTATAATTAAGGCAGTTTGAAGTTTTTAGCTTCGGTTTTTGAAGTTTTTAACTTCGGTTTTTGAAACATGGTAATTCCTGTGTAGCGAAGGAACCATATTTTAAATCAGTTATATTATATATATATATATATATATATATATATATATATATATATATATATATATATATATTGTATTTCACCAGAAAAAGAATCATATTTCTGGGAGATAACGCTTCTAAGGCAAGCAGATTTAGTGCTCGATGTCAGGTGATAGAACGTTAATAATAATAAATCAAATCAAATTTTAATGTGTCTTGTCTCTAACCTGAACATCGGGAATATTACATTCACTCTCCTGGAGGCTTATATTGTAAAACTGAATTTATTTCCATAAGTCATATTTTCATCAAAAGTTAGGAAAATAAGATTACTAAAAATACATTCAAAATATTTCTGAAGAGTACATGTAATTTCCACGAAACTCAAAGTAAACACAAGGTAAGTGAACATTTGATTTCATTATATATATATATATATATATATATATATATATATATATATATAATGTGTGTGTGCACCGATTAAACTTAACTACAATCAAGCCAAAATTAACGAATACTTGTTTTTATATGAAATCTTGTTTATGTACATAAGAGTGCATGTGTTAATTTATGCATGTGTCTATATATAGACATGCATGTATGTGTATATGTATATATGTATCTCTATGTCTCATATATATATATATATATATATAATTATTTTAAAAAAATATGATTCCTTCGCTACATAAGAGTTCTCATGTTTCAAAAACGAGACCCGAAACCCTCAATATAATTATTAAAATTAAATTGAAATTTACGCATCAAAATTGTCGCCCTAGCCGTTTCTATAGTAATTAATTTTGTGAGCGAACATGCTTATAAAGATGCGTAAATTTTAAGATTCCTAAATTTTCGCTTGAGGATGAAAAAGGGTTTGATACCTTAATTCAATTTAATTTTAATAATCATATTGAGGGTTTCGCTTTTGAAACATGAGAACTCTTATGTAGCGAAGGAATCATATTTTTAAAAAAAATAATTATAATATATTTAAAAAAAATAATTATAATTTAAGCTCTACTTCTGTATGGAGCACTGTTTTTTAAAAAGTAAAAAACAAAATACTAAAGAACTCCGGATTATTTACCTAACGTGTTCTTTCCTATTTTTCTGCACACACACACACACACACACACACACACACACACACACACACACACACACACATATATATATATATGTATATATATATATATATATTGGATAGAGAGGTAAGAACTCTGCATGGTAGCAGTCAGTTTCACGCCTCGATACAATGTTCAAACCAGACCAAATAAAAAATTGTATCGAGGCCTGATACTGACAATCACTATATAGTGTTGATTCATATGTCCACATTATCTATTTCTATAAACGATCTATGTGAATATATATATATATATATATATATATATATATATCAATCCCGTTTACTTTAAATGGCAAATATATTTTTTTAATAATCCCAGTATCATATATAACTGCACCAACATTGCGATAAACAGATATTTTTTTATTAAAATTTATATTTTAAATTTAAATTACGTAACGGTCAGTCTATACACTGAACCTGAAGTTGTGCATGAAACTCAGAGTAGTGCTATCGGTGACGGATAATATATATATATATATATATATATATATATATATATATATATATATATATGAGAAAGAGACAGTTTCTGTGTTTGCACGTATGTTTTCATGATACGATATACATGTCTTGTAAGTGGGCGTACGTGCCCGTATGTGTATGTATATATATATAGGTTTGTATTTCTCTGTCAATTCCTGTTTAACGAATAACAATTAATGAGTTCCTCAACCTGCAAATGGAATTTTCATGAAGTAGAATGTTTTCAGATTTTTCGTCTCTTGCAGACTTTGCGTAAAGCGTAATCGAGTTTTACGATCGTTTCCTTCTTTCTTACATATTCTCTCGCTCTCTCTTTTTTTTTTTTTGTTTTTAAATTCGATCGATGAAGAATTTACTCGGCTGAAGCCGAAAGATTTTCTTCTAGATAAAAGAAGGCAGAGAGACTTACAAGATCAACCGAAGTGCAGGTGCGTCTCTCCTGCTTATTTCGCCTCGACATCAAAAGAATTTATACTGTCTTATCAACAGAATTAGAATCGTAATGATTTCCCGCCGGAAATCCAGGTCTGTAGAAGCGGGGAAAAATGGCAGAATAAGAATAATCCGAAACTAATCGATACGTAATAGGCTTATTGATTATCTTCATTCAACAGTAACATATCTTTCATTAGCATTTTTATTTTTTAAATATTATCCCATCTCAAATAATCTTCAAATCGAAAGACATTTTTGTGAAAAATTGTTTTGAATTGAATTAAATAATGAATTTTCTGGTTTTACAGTGCAAATAATATTTCGGTATAAATAATATCAAACAGTGCCACCCGGCGTGATGTGTGGAGAAAATGGTTAAATGCCAGATAGAATGACAAACACCTTTTCTATAACTTGACTCGATTTTCGTTATATAACATTTCCAATTGGAGGTATAGCCTAATGGTGAAAAATGGCCGATCCGAGTTCAAATTTTACTTGCACCCATTTCTATTCATTTTGCAAGAATGACTCAATAAAACATGAATCTTTTTATACTCCCAGACTATGGAAAAACAGAGCACATTTTCTAGCATTGGTTTCCTAAGAGGGGGACGAATTTGAATCCAAGTCTGCCAAGAAGGTAAAGGAAATCACACATCTTTGCTTGACGTCTTCCCTTTTCACTAGATTCTATGTTTTCTTTCTTTTTTTACTCGCTGATTTCCACGTTTTCTTTCTTTTTCTTTTTTCTTTCTTTTTCTTTTTTCTTTCTTTCTTTTTCTTTTCTTTATGACTTCCATGTCTTTCATTTTTTTGTTCTCTGGTTTCCATGTTTTCTTGTTTTTTTTTTGCTTTCAGACATCTATGTTTTGTTTGTTTGTTTCTTTCTTTGCTCTCTGGCTTCCATGTTTGCTTTTTTTTTTCTTTCTTTCTTTTTTACTGCCATGTGTTCTTTCTTTTTTTGTTCTCTGGTTTCCATGTTTTCTTTCTTTGCTCTCAGACATCCATGTTTTGTTTGTTTGTTTGTTTGTTTGTTTCTTTCTTTCTTTCTTTCTTTCTTTGCTCTCTGACTTTCATATATTCTTCCTTTCTTTGTTGTCGGGCATCCATGTTTCTTTCTTTCTCTGCTCACGGACATCCATGTTTTCTTTCTTTCTTTCTTTCTTTCTTTCTTTCTTTCTTTCTTTCTTTCTTTCTTTGTTCTCTGGCTTCCATGTTTTCTTTCTTTGTCTTCTTTCCTTCCTCTCTTTTTTCTTTGTCTTCTTTCCTCGCTCTCTTTCTTTGTCTTCTTCCCTTGCTATTTTTCATTTTTTTGTCTTCTTACTTTACTCTCTTTATTTGTATCCCTCTCTTCTTCTCTTACATTTTCTCAATTTCTCTCATTCTTTCTTTCATTATCTGATTCTTTTCATAACTTCTTCTCTTGCCCTCTGGCTTCTGTGTCTTTGATTTTATTTCATTCCTTATAATTGTCTTTCTATACTACTCAACTCGACGCTTTAAATCATTAAGCTATTCTCCTACTGCAGCATAGCAATTCTGAATTCAGTCCCCGAGTGGCATAGCAAATACTTTGATCAAGTGGAAATAAAACAATGTATACTGGGTAGTACGATATAAGAACAAACAAGTTATCCCTAGACATTATCCGTTGAAGTAGAACATTCTATCCCCGTAGATTAAATAAAGGGATTAATTCAAATGTTTTGCCAGACTCCTGTTTTAATACACATCAGTAACAACGAAGAAGTTAATATTCACCCTGTTTGAAGTTATTAAGAAAATCATTTAAACTTCAATAAATTTATTTTGGTTTGAAAAAATTGTAAAATTTTAAACATTCAATTTAGATGTTAAAACAAGACCTGGGTTAAAATTTTAGATAGTATCACTATGTTTCATTGAAGTGAATTGATTTTTTTTTCTAAAAAACAAAACAAAAACTGCAGTCTAAAGTTATTAGGCAAAAGCAAATAATCACATTTTTCTTCAATAAAAAGGAAATAAAATCATCAAAAATTGATCAACACCTATACTATAACAAATAACAAACACATAAGTCTTTGAATTGTTTACATTTTAATATTGTGACCCTTCTTCTCAGTAACAGCCAGTAATATGTCATTCATTGATTTACTTAATTGTTTTACTTTAGCAGATTCAATTTCTGACATGATAGTTTTAATTGCTTCCTGTTGCTGTTATTTTGTTTACTACCTTTATATAATTTCGTCTTCACAGTTGACCATAGATTTTCGATCGGATTCAGTTCAGGACTTGATGGTATCCATTCCTTATCTTCTCTCCTGTAATCTTATATGCTCAAATAATTCACAGGTAAGCTTAGATACACGAGAAGGAGCATTGTCGTGCATATTTAGCCACAGGCAAGTCTGAATTGGATAAAATCCATCCTTTCGCCTATCCATGAGATCCATCAAATATCTCTCGAGATTCATCCATGAAAATTACTTTAGAAAAGTCAATTTTTATGTATTTCTTGGCCAAATTTCGACGTTTTAATATATTTGCTTTAGTGATAACAGTATGCCCAGGATATTATTTTACACATTCCAATTCACTAACTATTCTACATTTTTTGTCCTTCTTGACTCCCTCAATTCCCGCCTTTTCAAAGCTCTGAGCGCTGGTCAAATGTGGTTGTTTTTACTATAACTCGCTTTAGTTTTCAACATCCTTCTTTGTCGTTCGATGATTTCTGCAAAGCTCTTTTGATGACTCCAATGTAGACATTTACTCACTAAATAACTTTGTTATTTTCTGCTTTTCACTGATTGTTAGATCTTTCCTTTTACCCATGTTTCAACATATGTTATTGACAAAAAGAGAGAAATAGTTTTTATTAGATTTCAGCGGTTTTAAGCTAATATTAATTTAATCTGCATATTGAGTCCGTCAATTTTCGTAAATTCCAAATATCTCACGAACTAGCAGTAAAAATAGCAGAAAACTTAATTAAATATTTTACTAAGGGTGGAAATAGACGAGTTTAAATTTGATAAATATTGGCTCAGAGTTTTTTTTTTTAGTTATTTAGGTTTATTTGATTTGCATAACTTCAGAGAGGTTGTGTTTATCATTGAATTCGAATATTATTTTTTTTTAATTTTCAAATTTTAATTGAATTTTGATTTAAAATTGTAAAAGAATAAAGATAACTATGTCTAATTTACATAAAACTCAATGACTGACTCTTAAATATTAATTTGATTTTAGCTGAACTGTTTCTTATGAAACTAATATTATGAACATATATCTGAATAACCTTTGCATTAAAAATTCGGAGAATACGATATGCATCAAACTGCTGATAGGGATATTCGTGTAATGTGACGGAAAGATGGAATCAAAGAGCTGAATTCAACTTCAGAACTCGACGTTTACATCATTCACTTTCATTCTTTCTTAGGAAAGGCACAAATCCCCCTCTTCTTCCGACACTCAGCAACTTAACAAGATAGACTTGGATCTATACTCTTGTCTAGCGACCAGTCTAGGAGAATGAAAACTCTGAATTCCTAGTCGGACAAAATGCAACGGGAAACTGTTCCACTCTATTTTCCAATAAGTAATGGCAATTCATAGAAAAGATGACAAAGCAGTCTGTGGCGATTCATGATCGCCTGCCTCCTGGATAGATATTAAGAAATTACATTAAGTATTAATAACGTAATTTAAAAAAATCTGAGAATCACTTTTTTTATTTAGGATTATTTCAACACCTTATGGGCCATTTAATACCGAAATTTAATTTTCTTGAAAGTTTTAGGAATTTTCTTTAACAAAAAATGAATCGCTGGTAACTTTTTTTAATGATGAAAATGTATTGCAGGTATTTTTACTAAAAAAATGTATTTTTATACTTTCATTTTGTTTAGCGGTATATCAACCATTATGTGTTATTTAATGCCAAAATCTAAATATTTTGAACAAAATTTTATGGCTTCAACTAAATATATTCTGAACGCTATTGTATGACTTCAACTACCGATAAAGTATATTGTTGGTCATTTAGTTATAAAATGTATTGTAGGTCATTTAGTTATAAAATATATTGTTGGTCATTTTGTCATAAAATATATCGTTGGTCATTTAGTTATAAAATGTATTGTTGGTCATTTTTCTATAAAATGTATTGTTGGTCATTTTGTTATAAAATATATTGTTGGTCATTTAATTATAAAATGTATTGTTGGTCATTTTTCTATAAAATATATTGTTGTTCATTTAGTTATAAAATATATTGTTGGTCATTTAGTTATAAAATGTATTGTTGGTCATTTTTCTATAAAATATATTGTTGGTCAATTAGTTATAAAATATATTGTTGGTCATTTAGTTATAAAATGTATTGTTGGTCATTTTTCTATAAAATATATTGTTGGTCAATTAGTTATAAAATATATTGTTGGTCATTTTGTTATAAAATATATTGTTGGTCAATTAGTTATAAAATATATTGTTGGTCATTTAGTTATAAAATGTATTGTTGGTCATTTTTCTATAAAATATATTGTTGGTCAATTAGTTATAAAATATATTGTTGGTCATTTTGTTATAAAATATATTGTTGGTCAATTAGTTATAAAATATATTGTTGGTCATTTTGTTATAAAATATATCCTTCGTCATTTAGTTATAAAATATATTGTTGGTCATTTTGTTATAAACTCTATTGTTGGTCATTTAGTTATAAAATGTATTGTTGGTCATTTTGTTATAAAATATATTGTCGGTCATTTTGCTATAAAATGCATCGTTGGTAATTATACTATAAAAGTTATTGCTCGTCATTTTGTTTTAGAATTGTTTTGTTGGTAATTTCACTATAAATGTGTATTTCTATATTTTCATAGTGTTATGTTTGGAGGGTTCACTGTTTGCCCATAGCAGGGATCCTAACTTCTCAGGGTGGACCTGGAAGCAACTGGAATTAAGAAATGGTTCAGCGTTTCTCAAAACCTCCCAATCAGAGGCCTTGCTGTCGGATACAGTTTAACGTAATACCCAGAAAGTGTGAATCATTTGTCCAAAACACATTTCTCAGGCCTTTCGGTAACACCTTCTATAAAGGACAAAACTGTTTAAGGATCGACTTCTATGTGCTGTGTCCATCCAGAACGTACGTGAATGTCTTGTCCCGCCCAAGTCCAAATATTGTCTTCTTAAAAAATATTGGTAAGACCTCACTCAAAATATAGCCTTCAAAACTTCTTGTTTGTGCCATGTTCCTTTTATAGCAAAATGACCAACAATATATTTTATAACTAAAATAACATTCTTCTTCATAATTTCCTTTCCTTTGTAGGTCTTATTGAGGTTTGTCCTTCCATCAGCATTTACAGTACTCGAATGACTGCAAAAATGAAAATATTCCCAGTAAAAATAAAATAATTTTGTCAGATACACTATGAGGAGAATAATATTCCCATCCCTTGTAGTCCATAGTAACGTTTGTGCTATTGGCATCACGTTCCGCTCCCTAGATAGGTAGCCCGCTGTCTTCCTCTGCCCCTTTTGCCTTCGTTATGCCCTGTGAGTGTCAAATTCTCCAAGCCGTCTATCTTATTCTGAGTATAAATATCCTTTGTTTATTCCATTTTTCTTAAGATCTAATCGTTGCTTACGCATTCCGTTCTTAATATTCCCATCATCCTTCTGTAGAACCACATTTCTGTTGCCTTCAGTCTTCTCTTCATCTGTGAAAAAATCGTACGGCATTCATTGCTGCACGAGGATTAATATTACATATCTATCACTCTTATTTAACACTCAATTATTTAATATATTTCCTGTTTATATTTGTTGGACTTAATCCATTAATATTTTTTTACGTTAAGATGTTTCGTGAGCAGAAATGACCAACCGAGAAAAATTGTCGAAGGTGGGTTTATAAACAGTAATTCGGACTTTACTAACCCAAATCCGTCTATGTAGTTGAAGGGTAGTCCCACATCAGACTATATGACGGTTCCCATAAAGGTTAAAGGTTGTATTCCTATCAGAAGAGCGCATATTTAATACGAAATTTCTCGAACGTTCAGGCCGATAAATGTAATGAATAAGATTTAATTAAAACAGAGCATTTACTTATATCCATAAGAAACATAAAATAACAGAAATAAAATAAACAGAAAATATTTTAAATAATTGTTGGACTTAATTCATTTCATAGTGAATATAAACGTATTCACATATGGAAAATAGTTCTAAGTCTTTGCCGACGTGTTTCGTCATTCGATTTTATCAAGGCAAGTGTTGATAAAGTTGGATGACGAAATGCGTCGGCAAAGACTAAGAACTATTTTCCAATTGTCTATTCTTCCATTTTGTCTTATCAGAACTATTCTGAGAAATGGAACAATATTCGCATATGTTATTCCCATTCTCCTTATTCGAATCACATTTCTCTTACCTCCAATCATCTC